TGCCGCGCGCACAGCACCGCTTGCATAGGACCGCTTGCACAAGATCGCCACGTCATATCGAACTTTCTCCTTCTTCTCTTCTCTTTCTTCGATTTAACAGGCACTCGTGTGTTCTAGTCCCACCACTTAAGGGGTAGTCGCCATTTATCTCGTGGTTTTGATATGTTTTTCACACCTCGCCACCCTGTACCGTGAAAAAACCATAATTTTTCATGCCAAACCGCGAGCAAACCTACAAAGACCACGAGCAAATATAACTATCCTGCTATATGCTTTGCCCCAGCCTATCGAGAGGTCCTGGAAGCGGACGAGTTGGATATTAGGCGCAACTGTCTGCTCGAGATCTTAAAGTCCTACAAAAGCGATTTTTAACTTCAAACTCTAGAAGGCCACGCTACCGCAAACCCACAGCAGCGCGCTGTCTTCTACACTATACGCCGCGAGCTCTACCTGCCTCTAAGTAAGAGAAGACGCCATTTTTCTTCTTCTCAAAGACGGCTCTAGAGAGAGTTATGTGTCCAATCTTCTGCTTGCATGGTGCTGGTACAACGAACGCGTCGCGATAGTGTGACCACAGGGCTTACCGTAGTTTTTTCCATGTTATTGAACGCCGTTGTCGCCAGTGACTCCCGAGCGGGTGGATCGGCCGCATCGTAAAGAAGTCTACCGAGCTTTTTCGTCGCGTGCCTCGATAAAGTTGCGACGTGCGTCGGCGCATCAACCTGCGTTGACCTGGATACCTGCGTTTTGTCTGTCTTGTCTTTGTTCATCTTGAGGTCCCGCCTGGCGGAGCTGGATGGCGCCGCGGCTTTATTCCTGGTCATGGCAGCAGCGTCGCGGCAGGTGAAGTTCAAGCTGCGTGGGCGACCGTGTGGGCGAAGATTTTGCCCTCCTCGATAAGTGTCTGCGAGAGATCCTTGAGCGCGGCATAAAGATACACGATGAGCATCGCCGGTGACAACAAGTTGCCTTGAGGAGTGCTGATGCTGGTCTCGAACGGGCTGTGCGCCTTGCCGTCAATGCGCAGCCGGAGTGTCGTGGTCGTGAGCAGCATGCGAACCTTCTTCATCGTCGAGGAAGCCTTCAAGCACCATGAGGAGCTTTGCGCTGTCGCTCATGTCGAACGCGCGTGAGAAGTCGATACCTAGAAAAGATAGCATGGCTAATTGATAAGTGAATGATGCCCAGGTTGAAGGCGTAGCCTTAAATTATGCTAAGCGGTTAGCTATACCTAATAAATCCATGTTGCGGCCAAAGCTTGCTTCAATCGTGGTGTTGCATATCTGATGTAGCGAGTTTACTCTGGCAGCTCTACAGTAACAACGGCAGGCACCAAATAATGTCAAGCCACTCCAAACACGAGCACAAACAACTAAATTGCCTTAGGCGCAACGCCCTGAACAAAGTGAATACCATCACTGGAGCTGCTGCATCAATGGGGCTGTTGTCCTCGTCGTCATCTCAAGCCACAATAAGTTGTTCCTTTCTACTATCGCTCCTCAGTTGGTTGAAGAAGAATGACTGCTATATGGCACGCCGAGCTGCATCGGTTGAAATTCAGACTTCGACGCTCGCATTAACAAAAGACCTAGCGGTTGGTATGGAGGGCGAAGTCTCGGTCTTTGGTTGAAGTTGGCCGGATCTGATCCAGCGGCCCGAGCGTTTGGCGGCTCCGTTTACGACGGGTATTTGCCGCTATTGTCACTCGTGAACACGATGCATATTTACCACGTACTGGTATTATGTATACACAAAAGCAGTCCACGATGCATTTCTTCCTACAAGCCCCTCCACCGGAGTCTTGTACACAGTACAAGGGCGCGAAAATGGTTTTTGACACAAACCCAGAAGGCAGAGCTGGATCTCCGATTCTTTGCATCCAAAAATGCATTTATGCAGGATATAATATCTAACAATAACACTGTGGCGGCCGATTGGCGGACTTTTTAGCCAGCATGGTCGGTGCCAGCGGCCCACGCCTCCTTGCCTTTGGCAACCCAATGGTGGACATGATTCGCCATGTCCCTCTACAGGTATGCTTCACCCCCGCCTCTGCTTACGTCATCGTAATGAATCGGGTAGTATATTTCGAGCCTTGGAGTTGTCGAAGGCCAAGAGGTAAATGAGCGCAAGGCGACGCTCGATTCCGAGCTTACACGCGCTAAGCCTTGCGAATAACTACCGGAATGTAGACACATGTGCACCTTACAGTTGACGAACGATCGTCGATCATGCAGAGGGCGCTCGAAGATCCATCTACGGAGCGTGTGCCTGGTGGTTCAGCGCTCAACACTGCCCGGGTCGTCCAGGTGATGATGACTGCTCTCACGACCTTTCAACGTCCATTCATTGCTCGAACGATAGGCTTTCATGCCCTCGAAAACGACCCTTTTTATCGGGGCTCTTGGCGACGATTCCAACGGAGACTTTCTCCGCTCTTGTTGCACTACCGCCGGTGTCGATATGACCCACGTCCAAACACACGCTGGTCTACCCACATCTACGTGCCTCGCGCTCATATCGCCGAGCAAGGAGCGCACGCTCATCACGCAGCGCTCGGCGCATTTGTGCTACACACTCGACGCGGCGACTCTCGATGCATGCTTGGCTGCAACGAACGTACTGTACGTGGTTGCCTTCACGCTATCTTCGGCACCACGCTACGAATGCGTGCGTTATCTTCTTCAGCATCACGATCCAAGTCGCCATCTCCTTTGCCTCAACATTTCGTCCTCGGGTCTCATGCAGGTAGCTCGAGGCGATGCTTTCTCGTATTATGAGTGTCTAGAACCCCGATGTCGTCGGCCGACTCCACGACATTTTACGCCACGTTCGAGTGCTTTTTGGAAATGCTCAAGAAGTGCTTGCTCTTGGTGCCGCGTTTCAATTGGACACCCCGTCCGTCGACCATGTGGCCTCCGAGCTGCTCGTCAACGTTCTTCGCACGCCGCGCGCGATCGTGCTTGTCACCAACTCCGCAGCCCCGACAAGAGTATATCGACGTGATCACCCGTACGATGAGAACAATGCTTGCGGTATCTGTCCTACAAGGCGTTGTGTAGACCTGTGGTAGTCCCCGTGCAGATTCCGAGCGGTTTTCACCTGCACGACACGACAGGCGCTGGTGATGCTTTCTTGGGTGGATTTTTCGCTGGCCTGTATGTTTTCGGCTGCAAATTTTCGATGGCTGACAACATTCTAGGTTGCAACATGGAAGCCTCCGTGCCTGCGTGGAGCTCGGTCACTACTGCGCCGCGCAGTGTGTGCAGCAAACAGGCTGTCAATTGCATTGGAGTGGCGACGATGCCGCTAGCACGTGGCGCAAATGCACAAAATCCGACGCCTCACCTGCGCTCTACAAAGATATGCTCGCAGTGCCTCGTGAGCCCACTGCTCAGTCGTAAAAATGTGCAAGAGTGCTGTACTATTGTAGCAAATTACATGGCTGGGAGAAAGTGCGCCGTCATGAGTGTGCCCA